TTTTAAAGTAATAGCTTTCTGAAACTCCAATAATGAAGAAATTAATTTTCTGATACAAATGGAATGAACCCACCCAGATTTCATAAATTTTTATAAAATTGTCATTATACTGATTTAAAGCAAAATCAATATACTAAAGAGTAACGTTTCTGCATACATGCTTTAATGAATATCAGGAAACACATGAAGTGACAGGAAAATCTCTTTAACAGAATAGAAGATACATGCAGTTCTCCGAAATGCATAAATTCTAGCAGCACCAATGAGAACATATTATTTAAACATTAGAAGAATTTAAATATAATCAGTGTTTAAAAGAGCCTATTTTCCATTAACATAATCAAACTGTTACTAAAATTTATTGGTACAAAACTAGCTTCACAAGCTATTAATGTCTATATATCTGTTCTGAACTCTCAAATATATAGCAGCAGTTATTTATCAATAGATTACTGTATATCTGAGGATAATAAATGTGCAATGAACAAAGTTAAAAGTTTTAATTTTAAATATATTTCAATATTATATTCCAGTGCCATTGGGATATTATAAAATTAACAATTTCCAGAAGTATTTAAATAGCTTTAAATCTTAAAAAATTTTTTAAAAATCCTAGAATCTATTATTATTAAGAAATAAGAAAAAATTTCAGAATTCCATACACATGATGCTATGAAGCAAAAATATTCAGTGGAATGAGGGAACAAAACCTTCTCCCATGCGCATATGCTAGTCTATTAGTATATAGCTACTTTATTTAGTATATAGCTACTCTAAGACTATGGTCTCAAAGGATACCTGAACACTTCAGTGAGTCAGAGTATATGCCTGCTCAGTCCCAAAAGGATACTTAGGTTAAAAAATAATTTTTTAACAAAAAATGCCTTTTACACAAAATTTAATACCATTTCCCCAAAGAAATTAGTTTACCATCTCCCTCTTTTACACATTCAAAAATTTTAAAAAGTATTTAAATAAATACATTTAAAAAGTGTTAATTTACTGAAATTTATTCAATGAGAATTTTTTTGCATAGTTTATGACAAGGACATAAAACAGTACTATAGCACTTAACTAAGGAGTATTGAGCAGCCCATTTTTTAATTTAGTTTTGCAGTATAATTAAAAATCAAAGAAAAGAGTAAGAAATTCAAGTAACCCTATAATGCCACTGAGTTAGATAGAATACAAAAAGTTGTATTACTTACAACTTAGCCTAGTAAGTTTTTTTAAAAGTTCAAAATAATTTTAGGCTGTCTCTTGCCTAAGGGCAGCCTCTATTCTGCCTGTGGAGAGGATCACCTCACAATAAACTTCTTTTGTTCCTTAAAAAAAAAGTTCAAAAGTAATTTAAAAAAATATTTGTGGATGAATATCTGGGATTTGCTTCAAAAATAATGAAACAAGAGTGACCATTTTTTTCCTAACTGTTAAGGCTTGGTGATATGTTCGTAGGGATTCAAAATAGTATTCTTTTTCATATACATTTGAAAATTTGTGTAAGGTCCATCCATGTTGTCGCAAATGGCAGTATTTCATCTTTTCTTACGGCAGAGTAGTATTCCATTGTGTACATATACCACATCTTCTTTATCCAATGCTAAGCAAAATAAGCCAGACAGAAAAAGCCAAGAACCATATGATTTCACTCATATATGGGATATAAAACTGAAAACAACAAAGGACAAAACAAAGAAACAAAAACTCATAGACACAAACAACAGTTTAGTGGTTACCAGAGGGTAAGGGGGAAGGAGGGTGGTAGAAGAGGGTAAAGGGGGTCAAATATAGGGTGATGGAAGGACAACTGACTCTGGGTGGTGAACACACAATGTGATATGTAGATGATGTATTTAGAAATATACACTTGTAACGTATGTAATTTTACTAACCATTGTCACCCCCAATAAATTTAATTTTTAAAAAATTGTGTAAGTTTAAAGAGTAACAAAAATTTTTGCATATTTCTTTAGAGCTAAGTAATGCTTTTTTAAAAATACACAAAGCTTATAGAAAGTAAAGAACAAACTATTACCACATTACTAACACTTTCAAGAACAAATGAAAATCAAGGCCTTCTTTTGGTATGTTAATTAGGAATTCATGAGACTTAGGTATAAAATTTGAATTTTAAGAAAAGCATAAATTGGCCTGCTAAGTAGCCATTACTACAATCAACTCTTAGTTAACTTGACTGGGTATATCACTGTTCCCCATATCCTTCCTTTAAAAAACAAAATAGACATTTTAGTAATTATGCTCCTTATTTAGCAGTTAGATGGCATAAACCAGAATAGAAAAATATCGGTAAAATATTGTTTTTGCTATTCATTCTTTTCTGTTAAAATAAGTACTAAGTAAGGAATACAGTCCAATAACATTGTAATAACTATGGATGGTGTCAGGTAGGTACTAGACTTATCAAGGTGATCACTTCATAAATTATATAAATGTCTAACCACTATGATGTATACCTGAAACTAATATAATATTGAATGTCAAGTATAATTGAAAAATAAGTTTTTTTTAAAAAAATACTAAGAAAGAAAAACAAATGATCTAAGCCTTAAAACAGATTTTAACTGTCTTCCTTTGCCACGAGAAAAAGAATGGCGAATCAAGTTTAAACTCTTGTGAGTTTCAGATTTAAATAAAAATTATTTCAATATTCTTTCTGTTTCTAATTCATGGAAACACTTGATCTTATCTCTACACATGTATCCTAGGATAGGTACAGTTATTAACTTCCTAACACAACAATGTGCTTGTGTTGAGGATTTGACTAAAATGCACACTTAACTAACTGGCAGTAGGATACACTAGGGTCAAAAGAGCTGAGCTGTAGTCCTAAAGTTTTTAGTGATGACCTAGGTGTGACCTAGGACAACTCGCCTAACCTCTGGGATTAATCTCATGTGCAAAGGCACATGTTTTCAAACTTTGACATTTAGCACTATAATCTAGCACAGAGATATGTACATTACTGAAACAAAGTTTCTACTCTTATTGTGAGTTTTACTCCGAAGTTTCCTATTTGGTTTTATTATATTTCACTTTTCAGAATGCCATGAATAACCTAAATTAATTTCAAATTACCACAGTTTGGAAAATTCTGGATTACACCATCTCTGAGGTCTCTTCTACCTGTAATGTTTTGGGACTCTAACATTAGCTGCAAAATACACCATCTTTTATTGCAGGCAGAACTCAAATCGAGGTCAGGGAATAAGTCTTCTGAAATCCTATAGCTAAGACAGTTTTACAATAATAAGAAAACGATAAGATTATGTAATGCCTTTAACATAATTAAAAACTTAAATTGACCTGATCAGTCTTATTTTCAGAACTCAAACATCTCCATGGCTAATCTATAGACTCGAGTAGTCAAAGAAGCTCTATCTTCAAATCAAATAATTCCTATTAAACTCCCAGGATGGAGAAAACCAACAGATGACGACCAATCCCAGTTGGTAACTCCAAGTACTAAGGACTATCAAACAAATAAACACTCAGAAAATTAAAATAGAAATAGTTTTTACAAATGTTAAAATACAGTTATTTCTAAATGCGACACTATTCAAAGCGTGACTCAACTGTCAGCCAAATAAATCAATTTTATAATTATGTTCAGTGCAGTTAAGTCTGTTTATTAAATGGATATGTTAAATATAACTTCATAGGAAGGATATTTTTCCTCCCTCAACATAAATTGCATACTAATCACATAGCTCTTTAATTTTAATTGCATATTGTAAAAACCCATGTTTTACAAATCATATATAGTCTTCAGATCAGAGAAACTAAAATTTTTCACGTGTTCAGTCATTTTTACAGCTTCAGAAAAGAGAATATGCTCATACTGCAATAGTTAAACCATCAGCTCCATGATAATTCCAAGATATGCCTACTGCTTATGCAAAATATTAGTAGTTTTAGAAAAAATTTGAATAGCTTCACCAATAGTTTTACCCATTTATTCCTAAAAACAAAAAACAAATGAGAAAAAACATTAATTTCTTCTTCTTTCTCAGCCTGACCATGAGGTCCCTCGATGTTAGTCTCTAATATGATTAATCCTATGCCCCTAATACTCAATAAATTCAATTAAAATTAAAATTCTAATGAAAAAGAGTTTGGAATATCTCACTTCATAAATCTTCTGAATATGCTAAAGAATTTGATTTTTTTAAAAACTGGTCCCAAAAAGTGATGCACAACAAAGGGCACCTGTTTTCTTAATTTCAACTAATAGTACCTAGTCAAAAGTTTCCAAACGAAGATAAAAATTAACTTTAAGACAATGACTGATTTGTATTTGTTTACATTTGCAATACTGCAGTTTCGTAGACCTTCTTACATCCCAAAAATACCACAGTATGGCCAATAATTAATGTAACTGGTTTGGAACACATTTAGGATAAATTGTATCTTTTTAAAGTATCAAATTCGTTTAAAATTCAGAAACATATTAAGATTTATCTTCTGTTAGTTGGTTTGCAAAAATAATTTTGACATTATCATTAACAGGTTCATTCTAGAATTTACCCCAACAACTTGCTTCCTTCTGTGAAATCATACAGTGAGATCACCTCAAATATTATGGTAAAGCTCAATTTTAGAGTAGGAAGTCTATTTAAAAAAAAAATTATAACCCTCAAGAACACACATGGAAATGGAAACCAGGTTAACAAAGGAAGCCTTCTAGGGGCTGTGTTAAAAATTGAAGTACAATATGTATATTGTTTCACCAAAAAAACGATTTGTATTGTAATTAGCTCAGTAGCCTTTTATCTACACTGAATAATGGAAATGTTCACCTCAGTCCAACTAGGAAACTATAAATTATTAAAACCTTTCTAAGGTTAACAGAAACAGTTAAAAAAAAAAAAAGTCTGACCTGGAATTTTCACTCAGGGTTGTAACTTTGCAAGATTCATCTGAAACCCAAATACCATTTGTACACATTTTACTTAATCATGATGCTTGAATTGAATCTGTACCTATGTGAAAATGGCAATGCATTCTGAGTTGGTTCAGCCCTTGGCTCTGAGTTCTGTGTCACATCAGGTGTTCTTTCATCATCTGTCCCATTGATGCTTTCTGGTGTTAAAGGAGACTGAAGATCCCCGCCTGCTGATTCCTTAAAAACAAAAGGGGGAGAAGGGGTGACAGGATAAAAACATATTATGTTTCTGCTAAAATATACAAGATCATCTTTAAGTTAAAGCTGACTCTGATATATGCTTACTTATGAACCATATTTTAATTGAGATTTGAGTCAAAGACTTAGAAAATGAAATCTGAAGTAGTAATTTTTAAAAGCAAAGCAACTCATAAGAAAACTATCTGAAACATAACACGATTTAGAAATGTAGTTTCAAAGAACTGAAAAGCTTGTGGATTTATATAAGCCACTAATTGCTTCTAGAATAAAAGATACCCAAAGAATTACTTCAGAAGAAAAAGAAGATGGCATAAAAATGCAAGAAGATGTGATTTTATTTGGGAGGGTAGGACGGCAAAAGGGAGAGGGAAATCTTCAACAAGTTTCCATTTTTTTATTTGTCTTACTTTTCAATTCCTAGAGTTATTTTAAAAAGCAACCAGAAATGCCTGTATAACATATTATACATAATGATGTTAGTGTATTTTGGCTTTTCTTGCCTGCTACTCATAATGGAATTATTTTATTTTGCAAAATTTCCCCTTATTTCTACTTTTAATTAAGATTTGCCTATCAAGGTAAATTTAATTTATCCCTCTGGAAAATAAATGGAATTCAAAATGAAGCTAAAGCTGACAATTATTCTTGCAATTATCATTATTATACAAATTTGATATTAGAATTCAGAATTAGGGATCATTTGAGAAACCTGTTAACCAGAGAAGATCTTAGCACCAGATAGCTAAAGAGCAGCTCAGTAGACCCCTTGTTATCTCTGGGCAATAAAACTTCACAACTGAAATATTAGGCTATGTGAGGGAACAAAATGAAAACATCAGTGCCCAACAGGGAACTAGTTAGGTATGGCCAGTTTGTCAATTTAGAAGAATACAAGATTTCCTCAAATAAAAACAAGAAAAATATGTGCAATATAGGAAAATGCTTAAAATTAGAAAATATATGAGAATATAAGGATATATCTAGGTTATGAAGAAGTGCTAGGAATATGGAACATACAAATGTGGTGAGACTTTCTTTTGGGGGGGGCTTCTGGTTTTTTGCTGCTCTATATATTTTATTTCACATTTAAATAGTTTTACTAATAGTACTATAATGCTATAAATTATGTAAGCTATCAAAGATCAAAACGCAACTCACTCTTAACTATTTTTCAATTATTAATGAAATCTTTATTTTGACCTTTAATTTCACTCTTATTAAATCTTTCTCCTAAATCCTCTTTGTTTCCATTAACTAATAGTCAATGCATGAATAAAGTTTATAGTATAATGTGACAACGTAAAATTGTTTTACTACAAAGTCAAATCCTACTAAATGAATAATAGGAACAATACCCAAAGTTGACTACTTCTAGGTCAATTATGAACCATATCAATTAGCCAGAAAAAGTTTAAGCAGCCAATTAGAAATCATGTTATCATCTTTGGTTTCAATAAATCAGGACTATTTTTCTCCAAGAAAGGCCAAACCAAACTAAAATAATCAAGGTTGACTATCCAATTGCCTAAACAGCAAGTTGGCCAAGACCTAACTCAGTGGAAATGGTAACAGAAACAAATTACTATGTTAACCTGAAATGAAATAACCAGCATTAGCAATTAAGGATTCACTTAGGAATTTGCTAGAAAGGGTTGACAAGAGTGTGAGGAACAAAAGTAGACTAGGATTAAAAGAGAGGGAGGAAGAGGAGTAGAGTTTGACTTCTGGTTCTTACTACCTTCTGGGGAAAAATTAGGAGGGTTTTGAGGCATGTGTCTTGGGGAGGCTAGAAATGTTGAAGTTACTTAACTAGAAAGACTGTTCTCAGAAGCCAGTTAAGGAAAGGAAGGTGAGAAAACAAGGGATGAAGGTTGCAACCATTCTAGCATCTCAACACAGAAAGCTTTTCTCCAGAAAACTTGAATATTAGCTATATTTAACGAAAGGCATATTTAATCACCTTAGATCGTTATATCTAAAATGAAAAAAAAAAAAACAAAGCATGATTTTTAAAAATAGGTTTTTTAGAGGCGGCTGGCTGGTTAGCTCAGTTGGTTAGAGCACAGTGCTCATAACACCAAAGTTGCCGGTTCAATCCCCACATGGTTTGCTGAGCTGTGCCCTCCACAAACGACATGAAAAAATGGCTTTAGGAAAAAAAAGTTATTTTAAAAAAATAAAATGAATAATTACCCATGAGAACAAGAAAAAGTTTCAACAGCACAGAAAGGCATAAAGGAAAATAAAATGTTTTTGCCCTCCAACTATTCCACAGGTAGCCAAAAGGATTCTGTGAATCCTTGTAGAAATTTTACATGTGCTAAAAATAATACGGTGAAACTTGTTTTATTTAATATATTCTAAACATCTATATAATCTAATTTCTTTTATAATCTAAATTTTGTGAAATTTCCTAAACATTCAACTTTAGTTATTCCTTAAAAAGATTAGACCTTCTATAAAGCCAACATTTTATATCTCTAAATCAAACATTAAAATAAACTTGGAGGTATATTTATTAGACTGCAACTTTAGAAAAAGAAGGATAATTTCTCTTCAGAAAGAGATTCCTAAGTTAATATAGCTAGCCATTTCTGTAGTAAATGTTTAAGGAAAAAAATTATCAAATAATATCTTCTTTGATGTGTGTGTGTGTGTGTATGTATATATATGTATATATACATACACACACATACATACAACAAAGTTGATAAGAAAAAAGTAAAATATAAAATATAACTAAAAACTGAAATTTAACGACTTTCTATCATTTTTACAACCTTATTTTGAGAACTAAAACCACTCGCATCTCATTTTGTTTCTGGGAAACTACCCTCACACCCCATTCCAAAACAAATAATCTGAAAAAGAAAAATTGCAGTCAAATAAGAAAAATATTTTTGTATATTACAATCTGAAAGAGTATCAAGGAAGCCAAAACTAACAGATGTGACTATATCATAAAAAAGGAGCTTGAACACAGATATAAGATTCAGGAAGTACTGCATTTTAAGAATTCTCTCTTCCTACAGATTTGTTAAGTAGCAAGAAAGGCCCCCAACACCCCCCCCCCAAAAAAAACCCTCAGAAATATTCTGAATCACATGAAGAAGACATGTGATCTCGTCATCACATGAAGATGACCTTGGCCCTGACTCCAGGCCAGGCCTTCAGGTGTGTGCTATATAGTGGAAGGGTGGGGTGGGAGGGATGTGGCAACATTGCTATTCCCCACTAGACCAAATACCACCAATACCTTCCATCGAATTCCAATAAGGCCTAAAATCAAAACTCCAATTAGTTTCATCCTTTTTTGACTTAAGTAAAACAGGGCCCTTTTCTGTATCATTTAATAAACAATCATGGAAGACTCATTCTATTTCAGTCTTTTATATTTAAGTGAAGATGAGAACACCACTCTTTTCAGAGCAGAGATGACAGGAAAAATGAGGGGAGGAACTAATGATTTTGAGTTCCCCTGGCTATGGAAACAGAAAAAAATGCTGGGAAAGAGAGACAGAAGAGCAAAAGGATACATAAAGGAAGATGAGGCCAAGAGCAAACGTCTACCGTCATAAATCATTCCCTACACCTGGTCACCACCCAGAGCCACCATCTCTGAAATCCTATTTCTGATAACCATGTCAGTTCCTGTATTTGGACTCTCTGGATTAACTCTTGTTCATTCTTCCCTATGAAGTGACTCATGCTCAGGGCTAGTGGGTTAAGCTCCTCCACTCTGCATGGTTTTGTACCCACTAGTATAATTAAATTCTTACCAAGAGTCAGCTGGATTTGTACCAAACATATTTATGTCATTTGTATTTATATAATTATAAAGTTGAATTTAGTATTATGTAAACTACTGAAATTTGAATGCAAAACTAAAATGATTATTTTAATAAAAAACAAATTAAATGCTTTGAAGTGACTAAAAGGTAAACGGCTAAATAAAATCCACAACTGAAATAGCTATGTATACTATTCCATAACATATATTATACCACATAATATCATAAAAATGACATAGAAATCTACTAATATAACACCCAGATTTCTTTACAAGTGCCAAGGGTTAGCTCTACTTACAGAAAAATACCCAGAAAATTAATTACCAGTATGATTTATATAAAATAGAAAACATGGAATTTCAATCAACAGATTCATATTCAAAGAAAAGACTTCAGCTTTAAAGCAAAACAGTGATGAATAAAAAATATTATTAAATTTTAATTTATAAATTTAAAAGTATCTTTAAAAAAATTCTTCACATTAACTGACTTTTGGGATTAACTCATATCCTCTCTACCGAACCCACTCCCTTTCCAACCTGCTCTTGAACCTTAAGATGTATAATCTCTTGGCCCTCTGATAATATGCTACTTCGTCAGGCTCAACCAGGCTTTATTTCTCTCCAAACACCAGAAAGCTAACCACCTTATTTATACTCTCACCAGCATCATCCCAATTTTGGGGCTTCTTTCATCTTCTATATTACCTATCTTGTCAATTTCCAATTTCAAATCGACTGAACTATCATCCCCCAATTTTCTGTGCCCAAACTACCATGACCTAGGCGAGAAAATACTGTTAAATATGCTGATTAGGGCTATGAAGATAATTTTGAGCTCTGACTTTAATTATGCTCTTGAAATGCCAAGTAATCTTTAATTTATTTACTCCCACTTGACTCTTTTTCTTCTTTACCTAACGGCTGTTCCAAACCACTGCTCAGGCCTTCTCTCGCCTCAGTTGTCCTTCCTCTCAGTGAATGATCTAATTCTTTCTTCACAGAGAAAATAGAAATAAACTAGCATAGACTTCCTCAATCACCCTCCTATCTTTATCTGAGTCCATATTTATCCTTCCCTCATGTCTCAGATAAAGCGGCTAATTTGTTTCCATTCTCCCCCCTCACATTACCTCTTGCACAATGCTCCATCAATGATCCCTTCCTTCTATTCTTCTTTTTCCTT